GCGTGCGTGCGTGTGTTCGTGCGTGTGTGTGTGTGTGTGTGTGTGCGTGAGTGCGTGCGTGTGTGTGTGTGTGTGTGTGTGTGTTTGTGTTTGTGTGTGTGTGTGTGTGTGTGCGTGCGGGAATGGCCGTCGCCGCCATGTGGACCCTGCGTCTGGGGCCGTCAGTGGAATCGCATATGGGGTCACCATTCTCGCGATGGGTGTGCTCGGATGCGCAGACTCGACGTGCCGGCCCTGATTGGGGCCGCAAGTTGAATGTTCGATGCTCGCGTATTGTGAGCTGGCGCTCTCGACAGGCGCTCTGCATCTCTTAGGCGTGCTGCCTTCGTCTGCCCGTTTTCCCCAATTTGCTCTGCATGTTGAATGTGCGGTCGGCTGTCGACAGTGACAGCTGGGTTCGCAAATTATCTGGCTCTGTGCCTCAGTCAGCCCGATTGACACGCCCTCTGGGCTCTTCCTTGCTGGCCGCAGATCAAAAAAAATATGAGCTGGCAGTTGCCCTCCATGGCCACATCGTGGTGCCCTCACGCGCCATTTTGGCCGCGCCGCAGCTTCTGCTGCTCAGTTCAAGCCTCGCACTCTTGCGATCCGCTGCTGTTGGACCTCCTGGCTTCGGCCACCCTGGTTCTCCGCAGCTTGCTGATGCTCACGCCCTCACTGGGCACACAATTCGACTTTCGGCAGTCGGTTCTCTTAGCTTCGGCCACCCTGGTATTTCCGCAGTCCAATGGGTGCCTACGCCCCTGCACTTAATTTCCTCGCTGCTCGCAGACCCTGGTTGCCGACCACCCTGGCAGCCAGCCCCTCCTTGCAGCGCGTTGCATGCGTGCACCCTGGTTGTGCAGCTCTTCGGCCGTTGCCGTCAGCCCCTTTCCACTCGCCGGCCTGGCCGCTGAGCTGTCGCGTGAGGCTTCGGCCCACCGTTTTAGGTTAATTCGTCTTTGCGCGGCCCGCTCTGACTGGACTCGCCGCTGGCGCTCTCGCCTGCGGCCGCTGATTAAAAAGTATTGTGAGCTGGCCCCCTCTTCGTGGCTTCGCTTGACTTACGCACGCCGCGCCGCTGGCACTTGGCCTGAGGTGTTCTCAGCCTTCAGCTGCTTGCTGCGCCGCCCCTCTTGGCGCTGTCTGGCCCTCCCTGGCCACCGCCGCCCTACCGCCGACCACAGCCTGGTTGCGGCCTGGGCCCTCTCCCTCCGTCCCTTGCGTCCGGTGGTATCCGTGCTGTCTTTTTTGATTCTTTGAACCTGGTGAGCGCCCCGGTGATTTGCGCGTCGACCAGCTCCAGCTAGCATGCTCGCATGTTTTTGGCCCCTGGTCTTCAGACGCTGCCACAGCCTGGCCACGTTTGCAGCTGCCGCTTGCAATGGTGGGATGCACCTCCGCGTGGATTGCTCATGAGTGGTTTAGCTTTTTTGTTCAGCCATTTGAGGTTGCCATTGTTGGTATGCGACACAGGTGCGCTGGACTGCTTGCGCAGCCCCGCGATATACCGTGCCTTGTTCGGTGGCACGTTCATCGCTGGCGCCTGGCGCGACAAGGTGCAATTCGTTTGCCCTCCTGGTGGTCTCGCCCCTTGGATGGTTGTACTTCCGCCGCCTGGCACACCCGGCAACTGTTGCAGCCCGTCTTCAACCCCCGGCGTCGCCCGGCGTCCTTCGGCGGCAGCCCCGGCAGCCGTGGAGTGCGCGCGCGCTCGTAACCAGGTCAGACTTCAGATTCCGCCTGCGCTTTCGCTTGCGGCCGCGACCAAAAGTATCCCCACCAGGTGGTCTCTTGTCTCTTTTCGCCCCTCCTTCTCTGTGCTCGAATTTAGGTCGTTGTCCGTGCGATTCGTTCTTGGACGCCGCCCGACTTGGCGCCGCGGTCGCGATCAAAAAAGTACCCCCACCAGGCCATCCAGAAACAGATCGCCAAGCGACCTGGCGTGATCACGGCAGTGTAGAAGCATGCGGTGCAACAGCCGGCTTGCAAGCGTTTTGTCGGAGGTGTCTTGGGGACTTGGCCCTGTCTGAAGCTCCTCGCGGAGCCACTTGGGGCGTTCTTGAAGTTTTTTTGTTCGGGAGGTCTCTTGATGCTTTCTTGGGGCCCTCTTTGGGCTCTTCGGGGTGCTCTGGGAGGCCTCTTGGGGCAGTATTGGGCCCGATGGCCAGAAAAAACGGTCATGAATTCAGGCCCGCCCCCCCCCTCGGAGGCTCAAACATGATGCTTGAAGGCCTTCTTGGGGTGCTCTTGGGGCGCTCTTGGGCGCTCTTGGGGCCTTTTGGGGGCTCTCTTGGGCCGTCTTGGTGCTATCTTGAGGCCTCCAGGGCCCATCGGAAGTGGCGCAAAGGGATTCCCCAAAGGTTTTTGACGGATGGTGGCCTCTTGGGGGGTCCTCGGAGGGTTCGGAGGGCACTTGGGACCGTGTTGGGACCGTTTCGGGCCCTCTTGAATGTGTGTTCGGGCGCTATCTTGATCCATCTCGAGCCATCTTGGAGGCCATCTTGGGCTCTGTGAGGCCCTCTTGGGGTCATCTTGGGTTGTTTTGGACGCTCTAACTGCCCGCGGCCCGCCCCCCTTCAGTCCCTGGGGAGGGGGTGGGGGGAGGGGTCAAGACACCCCCTAGATAGCAAGCCTTGGGAGCGCTCTTGGGGCTCTACGGGGTGGTCTGGGAAGCCTCTTGGGGCAGTATTGGGCCCGATGGCGGGAAAAGAGGGTAATGAATTCAGCCCCCCCCCCATCGGAGGCTCAAACATGATGCCTGATGGCCTTCTTGGCTCTTGGGCGCTCTTGGGGCCCGTTTGGGCCCCTCTTGGGGCTCTTTTGGGCCGTCTGCTATCTTGAGGCCTCCAGGGCCCATCGGAGGCGGCGCAAAGGCGAGAAGGCAAACCACGCTGGTTCCCCAAAGGTTTTTGACAGATGGTGGCCTCTTGGGGGGTCTTTGGAGGGCTCGGAGGGCACTTGGGACCGCGCTGGGACCGTTTTGAGCCCTCTTGGATGTGTGTTCGGACGCTATCTTGATCCATCTCGAGCCATCTTGGAGGCCATCTTGGGCTCTCTGAGGCCCTCTTGGGGTCATCTTGGGTTGTCTTGGGCGCTCTAACTGCCCGCGGCCTGCCCCCCTCAGTCCCTGGGGAGGGGATGGGGGGGGGTCAAGACATTCCCAAGATAGCAAGCCTTGGGGGCGCTCTTGGGGCCACCTTGGAGGACATCGATCGAACAAAAGGGGAGCTTGAATTAGCGGTGCCCCCCCCCAGACAGAGGCCAAGATGGGGCCAACGCCCCAGTAAAACTAATGAGTTTGGCTTCCTCGCCGAGGACGGTTTGGACGCCCTGACACCTCGCGACCAGCCCTATCCAGGTCCAGGGGAGGGGGTCGGGGGAGGGATCAAGACCTCCTCCCCGCCCGCAAGCCTTCTCGCTCATTCCCACCCGCTAAGCACATACGTAGCACCCGAGTCTGGCCCGAACCTCAGCATATTCAGCAGTCGTCTTTGGATGGGCAGCTACTGGGGGCCGCTCCGCCGCCGCCGCCGCCGCCGCCCCCGCTGCCAAATCGCCGCCGCCGCCGCCTCTGCCCGCCGCCTCTGCCGCCGCCGCCGCCGCGCCCGCCGCCGCCGCCGCCGCCCCCGCTGCCAAATCGCCGCAGCCGCTGCCGCCGCAGCCGCTGCCGCCACCGCCGCCGCCGCCGCCGCCGCAGCCGACGCTGCCTCCACCGCCTCCGCCGCCGCCGCTGCCACCGCCGCCGCCGCAGCCGCCGCAACCGCCACAGCCGCCGTCGCCGCAGCCGCCGCAGCCGCCGCCGCCGCCGCCGCAAAGTGTTTTCTGTATTGATTTTGTTGACAGGGATGGTGGGGGGGAGGTCGCATCGGGTTGGCTTCGCATGCTCCGAATTTGGAGGCAGAGTGTGTTTAGCATGGCTGTTTTTTCAACGGATGGTGGGGGGGGGCCCTCGTGGTTCCCGGTTGGCTACCAGTTGCCTGGGGGAGGGGGTGTATATTAATAGGGAACAGTGATCAAGACACCTGCCCGCCCGCAAACCGTTTAGCTCACTCCCGCCCGCCCTCCCTACACATAAGTAACACTCGAGCCTCAGCATGTGCAGCGGTCGTTTTTGGATGTGCAACTATGGGAAACCAACATCGAAATCAGCTGAGGGACGCTGGGGCGAGGTGCGCCACGCGTGCCAGGCGCGCCACGCGCGCCAGGTACCCCTTGGGCCCGAGCGTGCCAGGCACGCCTGGTGCGCCAGATGCGCCACGTGCTCTTCGTGCGCTGTGTCAAGTGCGCCCGCGCACGTGACAGCACACATCGGGAAACATGTCGGCCCCAGCATTCTTGTCGAAAACCGATGCTCATCATTGTGTGGGGTGGGCCTGCGCACAGTAGGGCATACGCCATCCCCCAGCCATTAGGGGTGGTAGCTCGGCGCGCAACAGGCAATATGATGACGCCCCCGCCGCCCGTGTCAAACACAATGCAACGTGCTCGCGGGCGCATCACGAACACAACTCATGATTGTGCCCCAAAGTGTATTTCGTATTGTTTTTTGTTGACAGGGATGATGGTGGGGCGGGGACGCATCGGGTTGGACGCGCATGCTCCACATGTAAAGGCAGAGTGCGTTTTGTATTGTTCCCAACCATCCTGTGGATTTGGGTCCTCGTTTTGGGGGGACGGTGCCGCGTGTTCCTCCTCCTTCTCCTCTCCCCCTCCCTCCTCCCTGCGTTCCACCCGCCCAGTACGGCGTTTCGTGGCCCCATAGGGATCTCCACCGAAGGTCCCAGCGGTGGAACTCGCATGACGGCCCCGGCCCATTTTGGTACACCCCTCACACGTTTCGTGGCCCTTTAGGGAGCTCCACCTGAAGCCCCAGTGGCGGAACTTGCATGGCGGCCCCGCCACATTTTGGCACACCCCTCACACGCTTCGTGGCCCCAGAGGGAATTCCACCTAAAGTCCCAGTGGCGGTCCGTAGCCGTTTTGGCTCAAGGTGGCCCGTCAGATTTCCCAGCCAGCCAGAAGTTTGCCCACCATGGCCGACGGCGCGAAGGAGTCCGAGATTCTGAAGGGGTATGTGAAGAACGGCGACGTGGTGGGCAGCTGTGTCATCGGCGGCCTGGACTCCAAGACGGTGGCGCTGTTTCTGAGGCTGGTTGGGTAAAGGTGAAGTGCTTCACCGTTGACATTGGCCAGCCTGATGAGCTTGATATCAGTGACGTGGTTAAGAAGATGGCGCCGTGCGGATTGGAGACGACAGTGGTCGACCTCAAGGACGACATCGCGGAGTGCGCTTTCGAATGCATCGCTTGCATGGCGATGTACGATGGAGGCTACTGGCAATCCACCGGTGTTGGGAGGATTGTGACCGCCCGTGGCTTGTTGCTGGCCATGAAGAAGCAGGGCTGTACCGTTCTCTCCCATGGCGCTACAGGCCGCGGCAACGACCAAGTGCGCTTTGAGCGGTACGCGAACGTGATCGACCCGAACTTCAAGGTGTACGCCCCGTGGCGAGACCCCACCTTGCTGGAAGAATTCCCAGGCCGGACGCAGATGTTAGAGTACCTACAGCAGCATAATATCGGCCATCAGATCGTCTCGCAGGCGAAGAAGCGCTACTCCACAGACGCCAAGATTTGTGGTCTCAGCAACGAGGCAGAAGACCTGGAGTCCATGGAGACACCCATGACCATCTGCAATCCGGTGATGGGTGTCTGGCCGAAGGATGCCCCAGAGAAGCCCGAGGAGGTGACTTTCAAGTTCCAGAGGGGGACGCTGCGTGGCCATCAATGGCACGGAGATGATGCCCCTGAGAGTCATCCAGGAGGCTAACAAGATTGGTGGGCGCAATGGCCTGGGCCTTTCTCACGCTCTGGAGAACCCGATCTTGGGCACCAAGTCCCGTGGGGTCTACGAGGCACCCGGAATGACCCTGCTGGGCCGAGCGCTCACGTACGTATATCAGTCTGTGTTGGACCGCCGCTCCACGGCCCTCTTCAAGACGCTCTCGAGCCATGTCGCAGATCAGATCTACGACGGGTCAAAGTTGAGCTGTATAAAGGCAACGTCCACTTCTTGAGTTTGGTTGATTGCCCGCACAGCCTGTACTCCGAGGCGGACTCTTCCATGGAAGCATCTGAGGGCTTGAACCCAGTGAGCTCGCAGGGTTTCTTGGAAGTCTCGGGTGTTGAGGCCAAGAGCATGGCAAAGGCGGGCCTCATCGACTACGGCAGCGTCTGGGCAAAGAGGCAGAAGAAGGCATACGAACTCACACGAAGGCGTAAGCGTCGGTTGAGCAGTAGGCAGTAGGAGACGTTTGACGGTTACTCAGCAGCGCTCTAGGTCAGTTTTGTGTTGTTTGGCACGTTCACTGTCTCAGGCTTGCGTGATCGCACCGTCCAACAAAAAACCTAAAGTCCCAGTGGCGGAACTCGCATGGCGGTGAAGGCCATTTTGGCACACCCCTCACACGTTGCGTGGACCCATAGGGAGCTCCACCTATGGTCCCAGTGGCGGAACTGGCATGGCGGCCCCGCTCCATTTTGGCACACCCTTCACACGGTTCGTGGCCCCATAGGGAGCTCCACCGAAGGTCCCAGTGGCCGAACTCGCTTGGCGGACTCGCCCCATTTTGGCACACCCTTCACACGGTTCGTGGTCCCATAGTATAGGGAGCTCCACCTATGTTCCTAGTGGCGGAACTCGCATGGCGGCCCCGCCCCATTTTGGCACACCCTTCACACGTTTCGTTGCCCCTTAGGGAGCTCCACCTATGTTCCCAGTGGCGCAGCTGGCATGGCGGCCCCGCCCCATTTTGGTTCACCCGTCACACGTTTCGTGGCCCCGTAGGGAGTTCCACCTATGGTCCCAGTGGCGCAGCTGGCATGGCGGCCCCGCCACATTTTGGCACACCCCTCACACGTTTCGTGGTCCCACAGGGAGCTCCACCTGAAGCCCCTGTGGCGGAACTTGCATGGCGGCCTCGCCCCATTTTGGCACACCCCTCACACGGTTCGCGGCCCCATTGGGCCATGGGGAATTCCACTTAAGGTCGCAGTGGCGCGCTTCGCATGGCGGCCAGTGGCGGAGTCCGCATGACGGCGAATTTCGATTTGTGGAAGTTTTTCCTCGCCGATCGGGCCCCAGGCGTGATCCTGGACTGCGGCCGCCACAAGGCCGGGAACGGCAAGAAGGAGGACGACGACTGGTGGCTGGAACTCTACATGCTGCGTTCGTGCGCCACGTTCCAACAGGACCTCCTGCTCGCGCGGGCGCCGCGCATCGAGTTCTTCCTGGCAGCTGTTTGCGGCGCGCACGAAGCGGTGCAGAAGGGTTGCGACGGCCCTCGCCAGGGAACTGGGC